TAGGGCACTACCATCATGGCTTGCGCAAAGAGGCGAAATTTGCCGCCACATAAAAAAATTTCAAGGAGCACCTTGAGTATTACCCTGAAAAACAAGGCAGACATCAGGGCCAAGTCAGACAAAAGGTCAGGTGCCCGTGGCGCCTGACGTGTGCGCGCTGCTGTGTACAAAGATGTTGAAGCAGCCGTTTACAAGTGGTTTGTGGACGTTCGGTCGTGAAACATCCCGGTGTTTGGCCCTATGATCGAGCAGAAAACCAAGGACCTTGCTTTTCTGCTTGGCAGGAATGATTTCCAAAGCGGTTCAGGCTAGCTTCAGCGGTTCAAAGAACGGCACATTATTGGCAAAGCTGTTACAGGTGAAAGCAGAGCGGTGGACCTGAACAGCGTAGAAAAAATGGCTCGAGGAAAACTGGCAAGATACCGCAGCAAGATATAGAGCCCAAGATATCTTCAATGTGGATGAAACCGCTCTATTTTGGCAAATGTTCCCAAACAAGACACTTGCGTGTCATGGCGACAAGACAAGCGGCGGCAAGGCAAACAAAGCTTGTGTGTCCGCGCCGTTAGCAGCTAATTTAGACGGATTGAAAAAGCTTCGACTTCTGGTTATTAGGAAAAGCACAGCACTGCGGTGTTTTCAAAATGCGTGGTCACTTCCAGTTACCTACCGAGCAAACTCAAAAGCGTGGATGACCGGGGAGCTTTTCAGCAGATGGCTATCGACGTGGAGTGATGATTTGGTAGGCGAAAATCGCAAGGTGTGCCTGCTCGTGGATAAATGTTCATCGCACCACTGCAGTACGACCTTCAACAACATTGAGCTCCGTTTTTTGCCCCCGAACATTATGTCTGTACTGCAACCACCAAATCAAGGCGCCATACGCTCTATGAAAGCCGGCAATCGGAAGCGCCTGGTGGAGAGGCTGCTGCAGAACCTTCGTGTCGGCAGGGAGCTTAAGATCGACTTGCTCGGAGCTATTTCTATGTTGAGTAGATCGTGGGCAGGTGTCAAGGAGGAGACGCTCCAGAACTGCTTTAGGCGTGCCGGCTTCCGCATGCCTGATGACACCCCAAATTCTGACAGCACTGAAGACACCGCAGGTGTTTCAGCCAAAGTTTGGAACGAGCTGGCAGAGTTCCCGGGTGCTATCGACGGATTGACATTCGACGAGTTCGTCAGTGCGGACAATGACGTCCCCATCATGGGCCAATTACAGAATGAGGATTACATTGCAGACATCGTGCCGACCACGAGTTAAAGCGACAGCAATATGGAAATCGACGACGGCCCATTGCCTACATCCTCGGAAGTGATTAGTGGACTTGCATTGGTCTGGCGCTATTGCTTGAATGTCGAAGGTTGCGGCCTCAGCTGCTCCGACTCGTTGGACAACGTGGAAGCGTGCGTGCTGTCGCAGGCAGCGAAGTCGTTGACACAGAAAAAAAATCCGAGACTATTTTGTTCCACAGTAGAGCACACAAGTAAGCCACCATATTAATAAAGTACTTTTCTTCTAGTTTGTTATGTGCCTTTGTGTCAAAACCTATACAGGGCCTACATCGAATTATGCCATATATCCAACTAATAAACATTTTTTGGCGAGTTCGATATACCAGGGTTCGACTGCATAAAAAAGTCTGAAAATCCAGGCGTTCGAAGCTTTCGCCATCAAATTTTGCGGACTTTTTAGCGCTAACTGCAGACTCTATAAGTCACTATCGACACTGCCGTTTCGATTTTTTTGGGCCCTCGAACTCCCGGCGCCGTGACTGCAGTACTCCCGAAACCAAGAATGCCGCAATCCAGCGCACGCCAATGCGTTGCCAGCCTTAGCTTAGGCCGTATGGTGCTGTGTTCTGTGGTGCTGAGCAGCCCTGTGCACTGAAAGCGGGAAAAGCTGGACTGTTGACCTATTGTCTGCCATTGGCATGCTTGCAGACTGGTGGAAGGCGGTTACACAACAGATCCTCCAGAACTGTTTTCACCATGTGAGCTTCATACCGGTCGCCGAAACCCCTGTGTCGCTCATAGTGGACAGCATGTGCAGCGAACTTCTACCCGCGAACATTGCCTTCGACGATCTGCTCGTTGCCGGTGTTTCGATTCCAGCTGGGTTAATTTTTAAGGGCTTCGCTGAGGCTGACAAAGACGTCAAGCTGTGTGCGGAATTGTTTGATGACGAAATGACTCGTCAAGTTACGGATGACTCTGACACCAAGATCAAAGAGGCAAAGCCTGCACAGCCAGCGAGTTCGAATATGACGTGAGCACTGCCACTGTCATCAGTGTACAGCGACAGCATGACATTGTGAAGATAGGTTTTGCAAAAGACTTACCTTAAAAAGCAACCGGGATGGGACTCAACAATCTCCACTGTCGTCGCGCACAAAGACGCGATGGCCAGGTTCATAGACTCGACGACACAGCGCAGAGATGACTCGAGGCAGGTGGAAAACAAACAAGGGTTTATTTACCCAAGATACAGCCAGTGCGACATTCACGGGCTTGTGGGCCGGCAGAAAACTTCGCAAAACAGACCGAGTGTACACTCGCCGACAGGCGCTAGGGCTCACACAAACGGCAGCAGCCGTGCACGCATATGAGAAGCTGCTTGCTAGAGCAGCGCATGTTACTCTCGTGCAGGCCTGTGCGGATCTGTCCGGCGACTGCCAAGTGAAAGCATGCTGCTGGGTGGGGGACTGTCATGGGCAGCCAATGAAGATCGGCAAAGCACCATGACCTGTGCTAGCATGACGTAAGGGGGAGACGCATTATCCAGGCAAGTTCGAACACGCATCGCATGCAGGGAAAACCAGCACAGGGCTCGCAGCAGACAAAATAGCCTGGCAGCGAAACCACAATGGCCATGTTCCTGGCGCTCGAGCAAGCTGGGGAACGAGGTGCAAAAGGAGAGGGTGCGCTCGATTTCCACAATGTTAGCTGAAATTAAGGCAGACATCACGGGGTGCAAACGAAAATAAGCAACTTTTTTTTTTGCGCCTAGGTGTTTACAAATGCTGTAGTAATGGCCACGTCCGATTTCTTTTTTTTTTTTTCTTTACTTCTGCTCTTCTGAGAGCCACCTAAATGATGCATTTGCTGAATTGCAATGAGAATGCTGTACTCTTACCGCGACTCTCTCTGTCAGCAAAAAATACCTATTAAAAATGTGTTTTTGCTTGCATTCATTTTTCCAGACTGCTCGATTTCCCGGACGTTTTTGCAGTCCCTTGAGGGTCAAAGAAATCGGACGTCGATTGTATATATTTTTATTTTTCTCAGGAGTTATACAGTCAATCCCAGATACATCCAATTATTCATTATATCTATACCGTACAGTTGATAAATCTCCTTCAATTTCCCATGTAAATGTACAGAACTATTGCACACAAAAATCAAACACCCGCGGAGCGCTGTGCTGGAACAAAGTTCAGAAAGTGCATTTATTCTGACGAAGATTGCTCATTTTCTAGCTGCATTTTAACAAGTTTCGTTTTCTCCTTGTGCGAAGGTGTCAAAAAGGCGGTGTAATTCGTTGGTAGCGCAGTGCTTTTTGTGAGTGCACCGGTGCACAATGCGTTGTAGGTTGTAACACTGGAATGCAGTGTTTTCAAAGAAACCAACTTCCAAGGACACCAAAATCACATGAATGCAAAGTACTGACTTGGCGTCCCTGTCCCAATGTGTGCATCCTATTCCTCGTTTGCTCACGCATTATGGCATGTGGGCCCGAACAGCATAGCCTTCCAGATCTGCAACCTCGTGACGCATTTCTGGCGTTTCTGGTTATGAAATACAGATCTCAGAGGCTACGCCTTTGCTTGCTTTTTTGCTTAGTACTACAAATCCCCTAGTGTCATCACCATCGCCAAGATATCAATGGTGGGGTAATAATCGTTTTGTTTGTTGTGTGTGGACCGCGTTATTACTTTCACCTTGCGCACTTCAATAGTTCTCGCTTCATTACGGCTTAATATTCCATTGGGATCGGAACTAAGCATTACGTCTCTCTCATAGCGATAAAAATGATGACTGGTGTTTGTAACGACGTCAAGCGAGGCATCGTCGTGCACAGTTTCCTCGTAGGCTTTGGTGACAATTTAGAGTGTGTTCTCTTAGCTGGCAATGCCGTACGGTGCCTCAGTGAACTTGGCTACTTATTAGCATTTATAGGCCACGCATCGGATAGTAGTACAGAAGGCAACTTTATCAGCACAGATGACAACATCGCTGTTTATGACTGCATCGATGCTAATATCATGGCTGACGTTGCGGGTGCCGTGGAAGTGGACCCGTGAGGTTGTGAAGCTGCTAGCTTCGCTGCTAAACAACATTTTACTGCATTACAAAGCTTGCATCGGCGCTCACCGCCAATCATTGCTGTTGAGGCTGAAGAGGCAGAGACTGCTTATTTTGAAAGCTCCAATGCTTGATTGATGAGGATGACTTTATGAACATGATAGTGTACAAAAGGCAAGACGAGTCTACAGACTTATTTTCACGTGAGATAGAGCGCAGTAACTTGCAAAAAGAAGTCATTTTTTAAGCATATTGTAAGCCAATTGCCATGTTAACGCTTGTTATGAATCCCAAAAGCAACTTCGATAGCTCCAATGCAGTAATATAAACCTTTATTGTGTTGAATTGGTGATACACTGAGTTATTTCGTAATTCGCTTAGACTTTCGATGTATCCGCGATCGACTGTACATTCATTTTTTTGCCCTCCTACTTTTGTTAATGCTCGGTAAGTACCTATCCAACTGTACAATGCTGCGTTCTTGCCCTTTAATTTGAATTATTGGACAACTCATCTATGTAAAACAAGTGCAGTGATTGATTTCCATGTATGGTTGTAAATGTCGTCTTTCTGCTGCTGCTGTATGGGTGCCACAGCCCTGGCTCAAGCAATGTTTGCCTTTAGCCGTGTTTCTTGAGAGAATTGCAATACTGTTCAGAATAAATCAATAAATAAAGGAAAAAAGCGTCGCTTCTCACCTGGGGGGGCATCGGGAAACACATTGTAGGGAATGTTGAAGCCGTAGTCCACCCCTTGGCCGGGCGTGTACGCAGGCGGAGGGGGGCAGTAGTAAGGGCCTGGGGGCGGGAAGTAGGGCGGAGGAGCCATTCCAGCTGCGTGCTGGGACGCTGCAGCGAGTAGGAGTACACAGATGAAGCAAGCTCAGGCCCAGCCCCTTTTCCCCCAACAAAGAAAAAAACAGTCCTCAGGAGAGTTTCCCTGTCCCTTAACAAGACTTCTCAGTAATGTTGACAAGTACAGACAGAGAAAAGTAGCGCAATATTCATACAAACGTGAAAAAAGAGCACACAGACAATGATAGACCCAGACTAACCACTCGGCATTCCCTGCATGTGATCACGTATATAAACACACAACATTGCGCAAAAGAAAAAAATGGGGCAATAAATCCAACAAATCAAACAGGCAGCTGAAATGACAAAAATACTGTTTCCAGGTATTCATTCATTCATTCATTTTTTATTTCCTTAAGGACCCCACTGAAGGGTATTACATAAGGGGTGGATACACAGGAAAAGAGAACATTTGAACACGTTAGTTTTCGCAGCACAGGTGATTTGTAACATTTGTCGCGAAGGATGATGGGCAGGTGGTTGAAGCAATGGAGCAGAGAAGGTCGTTCCAATCCTTGACGGCGCGAGGAAAAAAAGAACCGGAAAAAGTGGCAGTTCTGTTGCGATAACGAGACACTTGAAGTGGATGGCTTGTGCGGTGTGAAATGTATGTCGGGGGGAGGATGTAAGGAGCTGCATTGAGAGAAGAATGAAAAAATTCATGAAAGAGAGAAAGGGTGGCGATACGGCGGCGAACAGAGAGGGTGCAGCCAGTGCAATACAATGTTTGAAAAAAGAAAAAATTGTGCACACACGCACAAAAAAATGGGAGGTCATCAAAGCTCACACCACGGTGTGTGCCAGCGCTCTTTTAATGGCACTACGGCGAAGCTGATCAGCGATGCTATACTATGTCGCAAAAGTTTTCTTCAGCAGTGTGGAAACAACAGGGCCCATTAGCCAATAGAAAAGGTGTTTAGCCTCTCCACATGTATACACCCGCACCAAGTCGTCTGTTAAGGGTCCCTCTAGCATCTGCAGACACACGTTCGGCTAGCCGACTGCAGCACTGAAAGAAATAGAACACGGTTGCACCCATTGATGCTGGTGCCCTCCATCTCGAGTTTATCAGGTTGTTGTTCTGTACTTTGCAGCCCGTAACCGATGCTTGTACTTGCTTTAGATTTATGTCTTGGCACTTTGGCAGTAATGTGTTCATGACTACAATGTGATATTTTGATTACCTGCAATTAAACTCTTGGTGCATCAGGCTTTGCAGGTGTGGTTAACTCCTTCGTTACCATGCCCACTCAAATCAAACACCGGTCATCAATGCGTTTTATCTTCAATTTTTGTATGCTGAATTTGTTTCTCGTGCACCCAGTTCTTCGAAGTAATTAGTACAGCCACTCAACTTTCAGAATGAATTTGAATTAGCCTCTTTAAGCAACATAGTGGTTTTTGTAGTGTTAGCTACACTGACCTCGCTGAGCCAATTTCGAGTGGCACTGGTCTCCGCATGCGCAATAATACTCCGCCGCCGCCGCGCGCGGCTCGCCGCCGGTGTGTGCGCAATTCGATACGCTGCGCAGACGATCAGCGGTGTCACGCACCGGAGCCGGCACCTCCCTCGCACTCAGCAGCGGCCGCGTGCGACTCGCCGTCGCCAGTGTGCGCTTTCCAGAGAGTGCCGTCATAGCCTTGGTAGACATATGGAGCCGACACGCGCGCCTTCCCTGTGCAGTTGCCATCTGACACTGCGCTGGAGCCGCTTGATAGCGCCTCTGACTGGCGTTTGCCACTGTGGTATAGAGAGCTGTTGCTTGTTGGAGTCATGGAAAATTTCTTCCACAAGAAAAATATTTCCAAAGGTCCGCCGCATGTATAAAGTGTGAAGGTGGCTCTTTTCAGTCAGTTTCCAGTCACTTAGGTTTCACTTGTATTGTTATATCTGACACAGGACCACATCTATTGCCACTACTATAGTGTCATATTGCATGCGTGCACACCTGCGCTGCAATAAAAAGCATGGCGCTTGAAACTGTCTTGCAACTGCACCTGAAAGGCGTAAGGACGAGCTTAGGTCACCCCTTCTTCTGTCTCCATTTTCGCGCTATTTTTACATCCTAAGCACGAGGCCGTGGATGACAGCACGTCAGCTTCATGTTTCGTGGAGACGATGTCAGCCTGAGACATCCAGAGCTGTTCGTTTTGTTTACGGCCTCAAGTTGTATCCTCCGTCGCAAGTGCTGACCTTCATGCACAATCTTCTAGGTACTCTGGTCCACAAATCTCTGAGGGGCCGTCTGCAGAGGTTCTCCTCACCAAAAGAAGGCCCCGTTACACATCTTGGCTCTAAATGCAGAGCAGCGTGAAACATTGTGGAACTGTGCACGATATTGTCTTTTTTTTAATACGATGTGCAAATATCCAAAAAATATGATTTGATGAATATATCAGAACGCCAACCTATGCATAGTGAGGTAGTTCATGGAAAAAGGTGATGCTAGACGAAATAGCCAAGTTCATTGAACATCTGATTCACAGAGTGATTATTAGCATCATGGGCATCCATACTGAAACATGTGCAGGCTCCTATTGAAACAAAGAATGAATAAAATAGTATTTACTGAGAAAAGTGTACAATTCACTTGTGTCTCCCGACCAACCAAGCAATGCTTAACCGCATAGCATGAGCAACAAAGTAGTACCTTAGTTCAGATTTTTCTTCGTCTATGTGAATAGAAACATTCTGTACAACATTTATTTGTTTATTAGTACTCCAAGGATCCAGAGAGACATTACACGAGGGGTGGGCAAATGAAAACATAATAGATAAAATTAAAAGAAAGCAAAACACGGCACTAACAATAACAGCAGAAATAAAAAACCAGCAGTAGAGCATAATTACAAAGATCAAATAGGTTCACTGCACTGACAAGAGCACAAGAGATATTAACAAGGGCATTGTTACAATTTGTATCTCTGTCATACGTGCATGCACTTGAATCGTTCACGCAGCAAGTTTTCTGCATAGAAAAAGCAGGCTATCCAAGGCATAAGGTGAGGACATACTGAAATGTAACAAGTCTCGCTGTGGCCTCGTTGAGGAGGCATGTGCTACTTCTGAATTCAATAAAATGAAGACGGCCATTGTGCCTTATGGACCAATTTCACAAGGAGGCTGCTCCTCCGCAGCGCCACCTAGCGCCTGCAATTCTGCGCCGAAGTGTTGGTGTGTGGGGTGGTGTATACAGCGTAGACGCTCACTACACAGAGTATTGCTGTTATTCACAGTACACGGTCAAACAGCAATGTTTCACGAGTGTAAAACCACAACATATTCCCACAGTGGTGCCAACGATAGACCTGAGGCGAGTAAAATTTCAATGCTTTCCTTAAGCAGCAGGTGTAAATGCATGGGTAATTGGATAGTATGCTTTGTTATAGAAGCTTGTAAGGTTTTGGGAGTATGCACTAGCGTTAAAATTTTCTGATAAATCTCAAAGTAATGGGTAAAATGTAAAGGAAGATGAGCGAATACATAAGCTCCTGTCCAGCTGTATCTTCGGCGCGTATTAGCACTTCAAAATGACTCTTGTATTTCTCTGCCATGATTCTTTGTGCTTTATGTAACTCTACAATCGCTAGCAGATCATCTGGTTCAGCTCAGAACCTCATAATACAAAATTTATGGAATGAAGGCAGAAAAATTAAACAATGATGCCTCTGTTGATTTCTGTCATTGTCATAGTCGAAAACTTGTGTCTCATCATTGCGCAGTCTAATAAAACGAATGTACGATGGATGAGCTCAAGTTTCTACATAGCAGCACGGTGCAAGTTGACTCAGACTCACAAACCCTAAAAGTGCACTAGTTTTTTTGTTTTTTTTAATAATCATCACGACGAGGCGACGTGTTCAGTTATTGACCTGGCTTCCATGATTGAGGGTCGATTACTCAGGATACTGAAGCAGCCGAAAAAAAAAAAAAAAAAAAAAAAGAAAGTGTGGTTGTCATAAAACTGCCCCAGTTATAGTCGAAACATTGACAAGTTGAGAAGTGATGTGCCGTTGAAAAAAATACCAGAAACGCTAGAAGCCCGTTCCCAGGCCACAGAGCACTTATGTCATGTGGGTCTCTCTGCCATGCAATATTAAATGTGCTCATTCGATAATCTTGAAGTTGTACACGCTTAGGTTTAGCTTGTCGCAGTCAATGTAACTCGGGCGCTGTTGCATAGAAACAGGGGATGCTGATGCTACAAGAGAAGAATTCTGGTCGAAACATTCTCAGTATGTACTGTCAGCTTTGACATTGCTTCTCTTTGCTACAGATGATGAAGTGCACCAGTACTACATCAGAATCACAAACTGGTGTAATGAAAAAAACCGCCACAAGGACAGACACCACATATGTACCTATAATGAAATATTTGTCGGAGAAAAAGGCCTGTAAATTAAATAACCTCATTTCGAAAGAACGCGCACCTCACGTGTCTCGGCTGCCAGCCTTTTGTGCTTTCAATAGTTGTCATAGCCAAACACAGAACTGCGGCAAATCTGTTCTCATCCAATGTTTCAATGTTTTGGAAACACAACTGTTTTAGTGCACTAAAAAAAGAAGGGGACCACATTGACCTCTTTTGTATGAAGAACATGGCAATTGCCACGCACCAGCGGTCAACCGGCCAGTAGAGAGGGAAAGACGAAAATGCACTGGTTCGAGGCTACAGTCCTCTCTAATGAATATGGTCTATACCCATGGTGTCTATACCCTAACAGTCTACACCCATCTAATATAGTCTATACCCATGGTCTATACCCATGAACTGAAAAAAGTGGCATCCTCAGAAGTTGCTCCAGCTTGCTGCGAAAACCACATCACTAGACCAGCAGGAGCCGGGTTGCCAGGTGAAGCATCAAAACCCCTACACAGAATGTGTAGAGGGTGTGATCTGCAGCATCCCACTGACATGCGGATTGTCAGTCAGATCGGCCAATGCGTCAAAGACTGATTACACAAACACGATAACAACATTCGCTAATTAAACAACGGGCACTTGGATTTTGATTTCAGCACGTGTGACACTCCTGAATGTGAACCCTATTCAGATGGTGCCAAGCACTGTGGCAATGTCGTTCTCAATCGACACGTGAGATAATTGAGGCAGTGAAAATTGGGACACTTGGCAATAACTGTGTGAGCATCCCGTTCATTGCCTTGATGGAAAATGAAGTTCGCTATTTGTTCTGCGCACATGACCCCCAAAAGTGATCTAGGCAGATTTTTTTTTTTTTTTTTCAAATATTGGTTTGCTATCTTTTGTTCACGTGTTTTTTTTATATATATACTGCTACTTTTTGGAAATAAACTCCAGTTCTTCAGCGCTCATCTGTGTTTCTTCCTATTGCTTCCAAAAAAAAACAAGCTAGTGGAACGTAATAAGGCCAGTGTAACCAGACTACAAATCTTTTTGAGCAAAATGGAATACCAAGGAGTTGCTGAAAGAGTGAATTCAACTAACTTTCCAACAAATTTAGTGATTGATCTTGTGTTAAAGGGTCAGCAAACAGCCTCTTGGTCCGAAATTTCTACTGGTGCAATAGATGTGCACATGTACAATGTGAACATGCTGCCACAAGAACTTTGTGAATAATTGCTATAACAAGGAAGTTGCAGGGCTTAGAGCGACTCCCTTTGGCTGGTTTTGGTTTATTGCTCATCCTCCCCACCTTTTTCTAGCACCGTAGAGGCGCAGCGCTCTGTCGTGACCACTAAGTCAAGGTAACGCATCGCCATAGGTGCGAGGAGCGCCCTTCCCCTAGCAGTATAGTAGCAAAACGTCTCTTCATCTCTGAGGCTTTTATTCTGGCAATACTGCTTGTACTGGTAGTTTCGGGTTATACAAAGCGGGTAGGACAGGAAAATGAAAATGCGGATTGGATCACCAGAACTGCATTATCAAAGGGCCAGTGTTCCCGATTCTCAGGCCGCTGCTGTGGGCGATGAACTGAGACAAGACTCGGATAACAACACACCAAATTTATTAGGCACCTACAGGGCACACCTATTATATACAAATACACAAAAACCAATATTAATACCTTAAAATTCAAACTCAGACCCACTAAGCTTACACTCCGACCGCGCTACAAGCTAAACCTAACAAGCTAAATGTATGACATCTCTAGCCTCATAGTTCCGCTAAATATTTGGGCCGATCTCACTTGTCTCAATTGATTATTTTGATGGCAGCGTCCTGATTGGTCGTACTCGGTACCAGTAGGGTATCTCGACGCTCTCGACGAACGTCGCCATTCTTGCCGCTGCCAACGTGATCGCCCATCGTCGCCATCGCCTGATATTAGTGAAGTCGCGGATGCTACAGTGATTAGGCCTAGTGGCCACATGCGGTACCCAGTGCTGCACGCTGACGTGGCCACCCGAGGATCGTCTTCAGCAACTTGCTTCAAAGGAGGTTTGTGCCAGGATCGTCGGCGCTAGCTGTGCGCTGCGACTGCGTCCCGAGCGGCCTCCCTTGAAACATGCCAATGTCTCCTTCTATTTCTCAGGACGCCTGCGTCACAGGTTGCCGAGTCGCTGTCCTGCAACTTCTGTCCTCAGTGCGCTTACTGGTGAAGCGACCTTCTTCTTGCAAGTCTACGCCGACAAAGCCAGCTCGTCGCTGCTCGCGCGCTGATCGCAGCCGAGTTTATGCGCTTCCGGCCACGTAGTATGGTGTGCGCACTCCTGCCATTTCCAATTTTGTTCCCTCATCCCCGTCTTCTTTCTTCCTACAGGCTCTTGCTCATGACAGCCAGGGTACCATTTCGTCATGCAAGGGACCAGTCCACAAGCTAAGCGGGGCTCAAATGTTGCCCGTGGGCAATACTTCGTCACTGTGCGTACGTGGAGTCAGACATAAGAAAGAAGCAGGAGAATTGTTTTTCAAAATCCAGGGTTTGTGCCACACAGAGTGCGGCAATATTGGCAAAATATGATCGCTGCAGTCGACTATACAAATTAATGAACTTAATTGAGGAGTAAGTTTCTATTGGTCTCGAGATCTTGGAGTGACGCCCTCTTGCGTGTGACATCAGTTTGTAGACTGGTCAATCAACTGCGCTGCAGCAGTTGCTGCTCCTGTGCGTGGATCATCTGCTTCTGGCAGGAACTTTATCGAACAAACAGCCTTGCGTGGGTCAATGCCCAAAAGGAATGTTTTTGAGTACAAGTATGAATTTATTTTAGTTGCAGGCCAATGCACAGGGCCAAGAAACCTCCCAAATGGCCGATTAGCACGGCGATGACGCCAGTCGCATTGCTAGTAAGAAGTGAAACTATGTGTGAGTGTTCTCGCTCGTCATCTGCAGTTTCTGCCGTGGGATACTAATTAGTTCGGGTGTTTCAAAATTTCAATAAGAGTGCCTTTTTCTGGCATCTACAAGCATGTAGATACTGCTAGCGACACACCACAATGTCTCATCGACAACGCTGTGGTGTACGACGCAGGTCACGTTGTTGAATGTGCGCAGCCGATGCCGTCAATCGAGATCGCATCACCATCGCGGCTCCAGTCTTGCAAACACGTGGACTTGCGAACCCGCCACACAATGCCCCCTGTGGAGATCCAGTGCAGCGCAATGGTAAAGCACTGCTCTGTGCCTTGGTGTGCTTTGTCTTCTCGTGAAAACGACGTTAGCCTTCACAACAAACCTAAAGAGAAGGGCACGCCTGCCCTTTTCCTTAGGATATTTTTCTTTTTTGCAGTGCAACGACAGTGACAGTGTACACGGGGATAAGTATGAGAATTGCTAATTTCTGCCACTCTGGCATTCGCAAGCGACTCGTGAGATAATTACAGCAGAGCAGCTGTTAATATTGCTGCTTTGGCAGTCAATCGACCGTTCATTGCATCTACTAGAAATGCAAAACATCATCAAATCACTAAATTTGAGATAATCGTACTTGGATTGCAGATATTGGCATCGGCAGGGTGCAAGCCCATGTTGTATCGCAGTAAGATAACTCTTGAGGGGTAGCTGTAGGTGTTACCCAGAAAGAGAGCAGTGCTGTCTTAATGCATCCCCTGGCTGATGCAAACGACTGAAGTTTGTCTCAGTAATGTTTGTTCAATGAGAGTGAGGTCATGAAGTAGTTCATATTAATAGCGCACAAGGCCGTTGCTCGGCTATTAGAATATAACTAATAGTTATCGCTGTACCGCTGATTGTATATAGCGTGCACAGGGCCGCAAACATTATGTGACAATCTTTAGTAAATGTGCAATACATAGCGACAGCAGGTTTCGCTTATGAATTTATGGTAAGCAGTGCGCGCGCTTGTCTTGATCAGCAAACTATGTACATACACCAACCAAATAAAGCTGTAGTATCAAACGTCCTGCGCCACCCAGATGCGCTCTCGAGACGCGCTTACCAGAGGCGATTCGGAAAAAGCCTCGTTAGCTCTCTGCCTAGGGGCCCTCACAGTAGGTTTTGGGGCAGTTCCTCACCTGGTGTGAGTCGCCTACGCCTGTAGCCTATGCCAATGAATGGCTGAAGTGCTGGCAAGGCACTGAAACATGATTGAAAGCTTACCGAAAAGTGAAGCGTAGGACACGGGTATAGCAAAAACCACTGAGTGAAGTGCTTGCTGCACACGATCGATGAAGGCATGGGGCCTTTTTCCCTCTTAATTTGACTATCCACTTCTCCCTCAGCTTCGGGTCTTTAGCAGTACTCCATCATTGCACAGCACTCGCCGCGGAGACAAGTGGCCGCAGTTTTAAGAAACAAATCGCTGTGCTTTTAAAATGCGAGTTAAAAGCAGACACCAACAGTTGTTATAACAGCATTGCTACTACACACAAGATAGCCAATTGAACTGCTTCTCTGCTGAGTTTCACCACGACGGTGGTTTCTGTACAGGCGCCGCCCTTCGAAAGCGCACGAATCCTTGAACTGACGTCATACGAGCGCAGTTCACAGCGCGGCCATCGATCCCACACAAGGCCAATAATAACCAGCTTATTCTTGCATATCTGAACAACTGTATTTCACAGTGCAGAGGTTTTGTTCTTTAGGCTCATTGGTTAACGTTTTAACGGCAAATTTGTCTCGCTCAATCGCAGGATTCCCGGCACTCACCTGTCCTCCCCGCTTCCATCATGGTCTGGCCAAACTCAATTGCACCTCCTTTCATGAACTTCAGCTTGAACGTGCACTTTCCCGTCCAGTTGCCTGCAATACGACAACATCATACGTGGGCCGTTCACTTCCACACAACTTACTAAACGCAGCCAGTGCTAGTAATTGGCCAGTGATTGTCGAAACCTTGTTCAGATGGATCACAATAGAGGTACTTCCCCAGTTTGCTCAAGCAAAAGTATTCAACACACATATGTAATCTCGCTTTGGGTACTGGCACATTTTCTCGCCGCATTAAAACCACTGAAATAACAGCAATATGTAAAGGTAGGAGAAAATCTCAATATTGCAACCTCAACAAAGGGTCTAGAAAAGATTATTCTTGTTAAGCTGTCGAGATTTTCTGATGAACACCAGATTATAGCACTATAGGAATTTGGTTTCAAGCCTGGCCTCTCTATCCAAAGTGCACTGCTTCATCAAAAGGAATCAACATAAAAAAATACAGAAGGGGAAAGATCAATTTAAGGTGTTTTCATAGATTTCTTTAAGGCAGGGGTGCAACAACGAAAATAGAACTTAGAGCAACTTTTGGAGCAGCAAAATATCACTTTTGTCGCACTAAAATCTAAATTTGAAGCAGGTTGTAAAAAAAGTTTTTTAGCATGAAAGAACTAATTTAGAGCAGTATAAAGACGATTGATTTGCGGGGTTTAACGTCCCAAAATCACCATATGGTTATGAAAGACGCCGTAGTGGAAGGGCTCTGGGAATTTCGACCACCTGAGGTTATTTAATGTGCACCCAAATCTGAGCACAGGGGCCTACAATATTTCCGCCTCAATCGGAAATGCAGCCGCCGCAGCCAGGATTCGATCTCGCGACCTGCGGGTCAGCAGCTGGGTACCTTAGCCACTAGACCACCGCGGCGGGGCAGCAGTATAAAGACGATGGCTTACATTTAGAAAAATAAAATTGTGTAGAAAACATTCAACCCACCTAAATTGTACAGAGTGAACATCAATCAGCATTGCTTTTCAATAAAAGTAGCATTCTGAATTAACCCAATGTGCAAACTATAATGTCCACATTAGCTTGAAATAAGAGTGCGATACATACATGCAAACAGGATAAACCTTCCTATCCTGTCCCTGTCTATGCCATCCGCATCTACGTATCACGCTCTTATTTCAAACAATCATGAATCACTAACTCGCCCAATCAACCATTTCCACATTAGCATTTGCCACGGCTGCTGAATTATTCGACAGCCTCTGCAAATTCAAATGAGGCTCTTGCCAAGCTGGCAGTCTTGAAATTCGGGAAATTCATACACCTGAGCAAAACTGGGGACGAAAAAAAAAAAAAAACTGGCACAGGGATGCTTTTTTTCTCTTTTTTAGGGCAACAGAAGTGCCATACAGAGCTCCGAATGATTGCCAGTTACTTTTTTAGACGTCAAAGATAATACCAGTACTCAAAGTTATGCAGCGCATACATGCATAAGTAATTGAACAAAATGTGCTGTGTCATGCGACTAGCGCTAACCGTTCCTTCGAAATCATGATACACTTTCCCGCGAGACAGTAGTGTACTGCAGCGAAGGTCTCCCTCTTTACGGTCTCCTTGACGTCTCCCCCTTTAATAAAGACAGAGCGATGGGAGTCGAGCCGATGCATAACGGTCCCATTTCAAACGAACGATACCCTCCTGACTATGGAAGTATACATTGTTTCAATGGCACAAAATCACATTTACAAGCGAATGTCTCCGAGCGCCGCCGATCGGTTACGAATTCAGCGCTCTGCTGACTTCCCGAAAAACCACTTTCAACGACCGATAAGCCAAGGTGCCCATAGATTCTTATTGTCAAACGCCTACCCTGCCTCTGCACGTCTCTAGTCTTCACTCACCCCGACCGTTTTTTGTTACGCACCGCTCCGTCCTTTGACCCCACTAGTTTCAGCACCCCGCTTCCCTAGATGAGGCCCGTGCTTTCTTACTGCCGGTCAACCGATCGGCCAACAAGTCTCCTCTCACTTTTTGATCGCTGGTTTTGTCATTAGCCTCAGTGAGCTGCAGTAACCAGACCATTTTCCAGCATCGTCGGCCACCGACTGCATCCGATCGTCTGCGTCTTGTCTGGATCCCTATCGGTATCGTTCTAGTGCAGGCGCGTACCCTACCTCATAAACTTTGATAATTTCCCATTTGTTCCGTGTTCGGGACTTCTTCTCGCTGACTTTGCAATCAACTCAGCATGCCCCCTGCCCCCTTGCAGAAGCGTAAAAAATTCGCAGGTCCCACATTACAGTGAGAATCGATGATATGCGAAGCACGAATTAAGAAGGGTGATATGTCATTTTAAAATCAGTGCAATGTTACGAAGCACATGTAAATTATGCCATACATGACTTCCATATCATAATTATCATGTTTGAGCTTGGCACTTGTGTTGTCGTCTATTAACATCACGTAATACCAAATTTGGTATATGTAGAGTTAGCGAAGTGGCCACGAGAGTGTTATGAGCGCAGCATGTAGCCATGTTTCACATGGCACGCATATCATGATTATCATCTTCGGACGTGTCATTTACCTTCATCCTCCATTCACATCACAAAATAGCAAATTTGGTATACGTAGCGCTGCCGAAAAAGTTGCGAGTACGCTATGAGCGTAACATGTTGTTATGTTTTACATGACACGCAATCACGACCACATTGTTCAGACGAGTCATTTACCTTCACTGTCTATTCAAGTCACGTGATACCAAATTTGATATATGCGGAGCTGGTGAAACGGCCGCAAGCACGCTATAGGGTAGCATGTAGTTATGTTTTACACGACACGCATATCATGATTCTCATATTCGCACCAGTTATATATCTTGGTCATCCATTCACAACCGGTAATATCAAACTTGGTATATTTGAAGCTAGCGAAAGGACCGTGAGTGCATCATTAGCGTGGCGTGTATTCATGACTTGCATGACATGCATGTCACGATTTTCATGTGAGGGTTCTGTCATTTATGTTCACCATGCAGTCATGTCATGCCATACCATATCCGCAATATACTATGTGCAACGTTGCCAATTCAGTTATTTCGTAGCTAGATCTGGTTTCTTTTGGACTCTGCTAGCTACTGAAATTTTGATTCAGCTACGAGTAGCTAGTCTAGCGAATTTGTTTTACAAAATTTAGCTCCCAATCTGGCTATCTTTGCTAACTTTAGCTGCAATGTATTGACATTTTCTGAATTATTAGTGCTTAGCAATGAATCTTTGTACATATATATACAGTTAAAACTCGTTATAATGAGACTGGCTATAACAAAATATGAATATAACGAGCAAATCTTCATACCCCATGAAAGTCCCCATACAAACCAATGTATTCAAAACCTCGTTTTAACGAGGCAAAATTTGCCTGTTATGGGATATAACGAACAAATCTTGTTAGGAAGTAAAATTTTGAGCCGATGTCACGACAGTGCACAACGCGAATTTGAGACGGCGCGCAACGCGAGAACTGTATTTAGCAGTTCAAAACTCCCGCCACGCGCCCTCCAGCAACGCGCGCAAAGCAGACGGCACGCGCTGTTTCCGGAGAAGTCACTGCACGTGCGCCGCTTGGCTACCACGTAGGCTACCACCGACAGCGGAGCGCTCCGTAGCTCTGCGAACGTCTCGCCCTTTTCTTTTGTGTCTTCTTTCTCCCTCTCCCCTTTCTCATGGCGCTGAGGCGCGCTTCCTAATCTTACATGCCCCCTTCCCCTTGAGTAACCGGTTCCTAGGGGGCAGTGCAAAAGAGCGCCCCTTCTGCCCCTTCCTCTTCACAGTCACTTTCTCTGCAAGTGTTGTCGCTCGCCGACGTGAGCCGGGTTGCTTTTGCGTGCGTGTTTCTTCTCTTTTTCGACCGCTTCTGCTTTATCTTTTATCGTGCTGCGATCGTGACTCCAGCAACATGAATGTGCCAGGCAGGAAGCGAAAACGCATAACGCTAGATCAGAAGGCGGCTATGATAAGAGCCGTCGAATCGGGGACCAAGAAAGGCAATGTGACAAGAGACTTTGGCGTATCGACGAGCACACTGTCAATCTATCTTGAGCAAGCAGGAGTCCATCATCGACGCTGTTGCACGTGGCGTGAAAGGAAGCGCTAAGAGGATTAGGGCACCTGCCTTTGAAGCGGTCGAAAGGGCCGTTTTTAAATGGTTCTTGGACACGCGAGCCGTGAATCTGCCGGTGAGCGGCGCCTTGCTGCAAAGAAAACCGAGAGACTTTGCCTGCATCATGGGCTATGACAACTTCGCAGCAAGTTCGGGTTGGCTCCAACGCTTCAAGGAGCGCCACGACATTGTCGGGAGAGCGGTCTGCGGCGAATCGCAATCTGTCGACGAAGCAGAGGCTACCAAGTGCGCGAAAGAAAACAACCTGCGGCTGCTAGAAAAATACAGCACAGAGGATATTTTTAATGCGGACGAAACAGGCTGTCTTTTTCAAGATGTTGCCGCACAAGACGTTAGCCCTCAAAGGCGAGCCGTGCCATGGCGGTAAACAAAGTAAGCTGCGGATCACTGCGCTACTTTGTGCAAACATGACCGGCTTTGAGAAGCTGCCAATTTTCGTAATTGGCAAAAGTGCATCCCCTCGCTGCTTTAAGGGGAAGAGGCAGCTCCCAGTCAAGTACGTAGCCAATCGCAAAGCCTGGATGACGAGGGAGATTTTTTCAAAATGGCTTTGCGAATGGGACGAGAAGCTGGCAAAGGCGAACCGCAAGGTGTGCCTTGTTTTAGATAACTGCACCCCCCACCATACCGCTGCCATGCTTCAAAACATCGAGCTGCTGTTCGTTCCTGCCAACTGCACAGCAAAAATACAGCCGCTTGGCCAAGGCGTGATTATGTCGCTGAAGGCAGGTTACCGCAAGCGTGTGATACACAAGCTCTTGCTCAACATGAGGATGAAGCGAGACACCGATGTTGACTTGTACGCTGCGCTCGAAATGCTTCAGGCGGCGTGGATGAGTGTGACGGCGACCACGATCGCAAACTGCTTTCGACACGCCTCATCAGCCGCCACACCAGAT